TTAAATAATTAATTATGATATTTTAAAATATTAATTTATAATATATAAACTTATTTTAATTTATTAATTAATTAAAATTAATCATTTTCTAAAGTATTAATTATTTTTAACAATTAAATTAAATTAAACTAAATAATTTTAACAAAATATTGATGTTCATAACCACAACCCAAGCCCCCTTTTATGCTCCACAGTACCGACGATCCCTTTCACAGAAAAGGACGAACCACCCGCATGGCCACCTCCATCTCCTTATCCTCCCCTACACTCGTCAATCTCTCACCACTAAACCCTAACTAACACCCTCTCTCTCCACTTATACATACGCCCAAATACACAAAAAGAGAGCAGAGGGTACTAAAAACCACATTTTTGCAGAGAGAAGAGAGGGTGATATAAAATACTAGTGAGTAGAACACACTTTTGAAGAAAGAAATATGCTTTCTTCTTTGTTAACTGATTCATTCTAAATCGAGAGAGAGAGAGGGAAAAAGAGTGTACCTTCGTTTGCTAAAATGAATGATCTTGCGTTTTCTACTCCTTTGTTGCCCGATGTTGAGAGATTAACTCAAGAATGTGTTAAGGATGCATCAACGGAGGCGCAGAGTTCTCTTCATTACCCATATCAGGCATGTCGACCGTCCCTTTCACAGGTTAGCTCGCACTAACGCTAGTATTTCTGCTGTTTTTCCTAGTAACTTTAACCTACTTTCAATCCCTTTCTCTTAGGTTGTTGAAGAGATCAAGCAACTTTACACCATTGCCCTGCCCATGATCATCACTGGCCTTCTTATCTATGGTAAATCTGCCATATCAATGTTTTTCATGGGGAAATTGGGCAAGGAGACGTTAGCAGGAGGATCTCTGTCAATTGGCATCGCCAACATGAGTGGCTACTCTGTCATCTCTGGCCTTGCCATGGGCATGGAAGCCATCTCTTCTCAAGCCTGTGGAGCCAAACAATGGCCTCTCATGGGCCAAACCCTACAACGCACCATAGCAATCCTAGCCTTAGCCTGCATACCCATTTCCGCCTTGTGGCTAAACTTTGAACCCATCCTTCTATTTTGTGGACAGGACCCAGTAATCTCCTCCATTGCCTCTACCTATCTTGCATTCTCCATCCCAGATCTAGTTTTCCAGTCGCTCGTTAACCCTCTCAGAATTTACCTCAGAACACAGAACATAACCCTTCCTCTGATGCTAAGTGCAGGGTTTGCTCTTGCTCTTCACGCACCCATCAACTACATCCTCGTCTATCATCTTAAACTTGGCATTCAAGGCATTGCCGTGGCAGTAGCCTTAACAGATTTCAATTTGCTTGCTACACTTTTGCTTTACCTGTGGTTCTCTGGTGTTTGTAGAAAATCATGGCAAGGATGGTCCCGTGATTGCTTTTATGAATGGAAACCAATTCTCTGTTTAGCCATACCCAGTTGTGTATCTGTGTGCTTAGAGTGGTGGTGGTATGAACTCATGATAGTTCTATCAGGACTTCTCTCGAACGCCTCGGAGGCGGTCGCTGTCATGGGAATTCTGATACAAGCGACTTCACTCATCTACATCTTCCCTTCATCTCTGAGTCTAGCCGTGTCGACACGGGTCGGAAATGAGTTAGGTGCAAAGCAACCCGGGAAAGCGAAAACCGCCTCCGTGATTGCAATATCGTGCTCCGTCCTCACCAGCATCATCGCCATGTCATTCATGACAACAATGAGAAACACCTGGGGTCAAATATTTACTACCGATGAAGCCACCCTGTCACTGACGGCGGCTGTGATGCCGGTGGTGGGGCTGTGCGAGCTAGGGAACTGCCCGCAAACCACCGGCTGCGGCGTGCTGAGAGGGAGCGCGAGGCCGAGCTTGGGTGCCAACATTAATCTCGGATCTTTCTACGGGGTTGGGTTGCCCGTTGCAATGTTGATGGGCTTTGGTATGGATATGGGCTTGTTGGGCCTGTGGTTGGGCTTGCTGGCGGCGCAGGTAGTGTGTTCAATTTTGATGGCCGTGGTGGTGAGCAGAACAGACTGGCCGACGCAGGAAAAGCGAGCCAGGGAGCTGACCGGTGTTAACGAGGAGGCGGCGGAGGCAGAGGTAGAAGGTAATGCCCTGGTAAATGAGGGTTTTTAGATGTTAAGAGTAAAAAACTTATGTAGTTAATACTCCCTTTTCACCCTTTTCAAAGTTGTAGTTGTTAAAAATTTTCCATATTTTGTGTTCATATGGAGTTTTGTAGAATGCAGCTCATGTTCAAGGCTAGTTGCTTGTTGGAATTTCACTACTAGGACACAAAATTTGCAATCTTTGGGGCCACCTTGGTTTGTCTTTTCTAAATTATATAATGAGTAATAATCACGACACCTTTATCGAATTTCACACAGCAAGCAAAAGTCTCATGTTAAAATGATTAAGTTGTTTTTTAGCAATTTTGATTTATGTGAATAGTTTCTTTTTTTATTTCTACCTTTTCAAAATGGCAATTTGAATGGTGCAATTGAATTTTGGTTTTCATAAATTGTAAAAAAAAAATGTGTTTAACAATCTTAACTATAAAATGTTGAATATTAAATTAGTGAAGAGCCCTAGAAAGTAAGAAGATCCGTTCATCCAATAATCAGTAACACCAAACTCTTTCATAAAAGACTGGAAACTTTCCATCCCATTAATATTAAATTTTTAATATATATATTTTATTATGGGTTATGTTATAAAAGATATCTTTCTAAATTTTTTTTAGTTATTTCAATATTCTAAACTTAGATTTTTTTTTTTTTAATGGTTAAGGTGTTTTCAAACTCATTTACACATATTTTTGAGATTGATTGTTCTAAAACTTAAATCATAAATTTATCATATAAGAAGGTACATGCTTAATTACTATTGAATCAAATGCTTGGGGTTTCCAAACAGAAATCTATGCACCTATTATTGAGATCTATGCTTTTAATATAGCTATCAATCCCATCGAAACTTCACCTTAATTTTCTCCATTTTGCTCTTGAACTTTTCCGTCCTAGTAGTATTTGGCATCCCAATTCAAAATTCTTTTCAATTCCCCGATTAAGAAAAAAATGCAAAGCACCTTTATTTCTTTTTAATTTTTTAGCTGTACAATAAGAAAATAACCCTCAATATATCTTTCCTAAATTAAATTTCCACCTAACTTCAAATTGATGACGGTGGTGGTGAGCAGATGAGACTGGCCAATGCAGGAAAAGTGAGCCAGGGAGCTGACTGGAAGGCGGCACAGGGTAATAACCTAGTAAATGAGGGTTTTTAGCTGTTAGAAGTAAAAAACTTAGATAGTTAATACTCCTTTTTCATCCTTTTCAAAGTTGCATCCGTTAAAAATTTTCCATATTTTTGGTTCACATCGAGTTTTGTAGAATGCAGCTCATGTTCAAAGCTAGTTGTTTGTTGGAATTTCACTACTGAGACACAAAATTTGCAATCCTCGGCCACCTTGGTTTGTCGTTATCTAAATTATGTAATAAGAATAATCATAATGCCTTTATCAAATTTCTCATTGCGAGCAAAAGTTTTGTGATTAAACAGTTCAATTGTTTTTTAGCAATCTTGATTTATGTAAAACATTATTTTTTATTGTAACTTTTTAAAAGGATAATTTGAATGGGACAAGTGGATTTTACTTTTTATAAATGAAAACAATATTTTATAATCTAAATTATAAAATGTTAACAATTAAATTAAGGAGGAACCCTTGATAACGCGAGAGATCCTTTTACCAAGTGATTGGTAACACCAGGTTGTTTCATAAAAGACCACAAACTTTCTATCCCATTAATATTAAATTTTTGATGTAGTATGTAACGAGGAATATCTTTCTAAATCTACCCCTAGTTATTTCAATATTTCAAATTAAAAATTTTTTTTTGAATGATCAAGATAATTCCAAACTAATTTATACATATTTTGAAACTAATTGATCTAAAATTTAAACAGTAAACTTATTGTATAAGATGGCACATACTTACCATTGATTAAACAGTTGGGGTTTCCAAATTGAGATCTATGCATGCACCTACTACTGAGATCTAAGCTTTTAATTAGCTGTCAATACCATCAAAATTTCACCTAAGTTTTCTCCATTTTACTCTTGAACTTCGCTGCCCTAGTAGTATTTGGCATCCCAATTCAATATTTTTTTTCAATTCTCCAGTTAAGGAAAAAAGCCAAGAACTTTTCTTTCTTTTTAATTTTTTTTAGTTGTACAATACAAAAATAACTCTCAATTTATCTTTCTTAAATTAATAGGAAAAATTTCTTTGTAGGGAGTTCATCAAATTTTTTCTTTAAATTAAGTGAAGGTGAAATTTTAAATTTTATATAAATGAAAATGCTCTAACTATATTTCTCATAAATATATTAGAATTTTTTAAAGGATTTATAACACCCTTTTTTGGCAAATAATTAAAATATTAAATACTCATTAATTTTAATTTAAAAATTTTCAAAATTAAAAAAAAAAAACAATAAGTAAAACTCTCTTTTTGGTCTTTTATTACTTTGATTAAGAATTTTTTTTATTTTAATGACTAAACCTAATTCAAAATTTTAGTTTTAATTACTTTGATTTCTTTTTTAATATGGTTCATTCAGTTAACAAATTTCTTTTAATCTTTTAATAAAAAAAGGGATTAGTTTATCATTAATTAAAGTGAAATATTTCAATTAATTAAAATTTTAACTAAATTAATCAAAAAATTTATTTTAAATATCAAATGATTCATAATTGAACAAAATACGTTCACTACTAATTATATAAAAAAAAAAACTAAGAAAAATGTGTAGAGAGTTTTGATTGTTATTTTTTAATTTTATAGTAATTTGTTTAACTAATATTAATAAAAATTAAATATTTTAACTATTACATCTAAAAAAGAATATTATAGACATTATAAGAATTCTTGATACATTTATAATAAATTTTGTTAGAATATTTTCACTTATATAAGATATTTATTAATTGCACCTTCATTAAATAATAAAAAAAATTTAGTAGACGCACTATAAAGAAAATTTTCCAAATTAATTTCCACCTAGTTAGGAATTTAACTTCTAATTTAAAGTTCCAAGATTTTATTAGTTAAGACACTCTTTTTCTTTTGCAGGTGCAAGATCCTTTCTTTATTTTTATGGAATGAATTGAGTATCAATCTAGCCGAAAGGAGGGTAGAATATAGGGAGGAATCAACCATAGCTTGTGTGTTTTAGCTTTATGCTCTTTCTTTACCCCCCACTTCTTTTCTTCCCAGGTCTTGATTCTCCCAATTCCGTGTAGAATATCAAGTTGTAAGAACAATAATGCATGCCAAACCCATATTCCATCCTCCTTTCTTAGATTTGACATTGAGGAAAAAAAGAGAGGAAGTTCTAGTTCCAATGTTGGACCACTTCCTTTATTCTTTCTCCATTAAAAGAACTTTACAAGGTTAGTCTATATAAACCACAACAAAATTACACTTCCTCTTTATCCCTGCACTGTTCACATAGCAAAGCGAAACCAAGAATGTCGAAAACGAGTTTTCTAGAGATGAAGTATGGACTTTCAAAGAAGTCTTCCTTAAAGAACCAGCCAACCCAATTGAGCATTTCAACAGAAAAACAAACATCAAGTGTGTCTTCTAGTGGTTTCCAACCAAATATGGACGAGATGAAATTTGTGTTCGACAAATTTGACACAAACAAAGACGGTAGGATCTGCAAGGAGGAGTACGGGGCAGCTGTAAGAGTTCTGGGTAAAGGAACTACGGATGCTGAAATGATTCAGGCGTTTAAGGTCGTTGATGCAGATGGAGATGGTTTCATCGATTTCCAGGAGTTCACCGAAATGATGCGAAACATGGAGGATAGAGTGAATGTCAATGATATCCAAAATGCATTTCAGGCTTATGATTTGGATGGAAATGGTAAAATAAGCGCGGAAGAGTTAATGGAAATGATGAAGAAGATGGGGGAAAGGTACAACCTGGAGGCTTGTCGCCAGATGATTCGTGGGGTGGATGCTAATGGGGATGGTCTGATTGATATGGATGAGTTTGTCACCATGATGACTAGCACCAAGAAATTGGCCTAGTTACAAGCATCACCATTTCATATCTATACTATTTTTGAGAAAAATAATGTTCTTGTGCCATGTACAAGTTATATTTAGTTATCTACTTTTCATAACTGATAGCAGATGTTTGATATATATATTGATTATATTTTAAATAAAGAAGAAATATTTAAGGTAATTTCCTACCTAAAACTCAAATTCCTTTTTCATCTCAATTTGAGGAAGCTGACCAAAAATTATTTGCATCTCAATTCTCATGTCAAGATTTATTTTCCTAAGCCGAGCCAAGTTGATTTTTGGTTGGCTATCCTAGATTTTTTTTCTAGGATTCGAGATAACCAAATAGGACTTTAGCTTAAATTTCAATAATTGTATAAAAAAAAAAAAAGTCTATACAATCACTTGGAACTTCTTTATTTATAATGTCTCTATAGTGGAGACTCCATTTGTAACATCTCTAAAGCAAAGCATCATCTCTATTTTGTCATCAATGCGAAACTCTATTTGTAATGTCTCTATGATGACTCTATTTGTAACATCTCTATGACAAAGCAACGTGTCTATTTTATTGTCAATCACGACTCTATTTATAACATCTATATGGCAAAGCAACATCTCTATTTTATCATCAAGGTTAGAAGCATTATGATCTAAAGTTGGGCACCAGGAAGTTGGCCTATTTACAAGCATCTTCATTTCATATTTGTACTATTTTTAAGAAAAATAATGTTCTTGTGCTATGTACAAGTTATGTTTGATTATTTATTTGGAAATTGCTTGTAACTAA